TTAATATTTTGCCACCTTTAAAAGCTGAACTTATTTAAATTATACAGAAGTTGCTGTATGAAATATTAAAATATGGGAGTCAATCGAAGGAGTATTAGGAAATATTTAGCTTAAAATATTAAAAAGGGCAGTTTACAAGATGGGTACCACTCGAAATGGTTTCAAAATTCAGCCGAATAAATTCAAAACTAATGTACAGTTTTAACCTAAATATCCTCTCATTATTATCACGTATTCTACGCTTTAGTTTAACGGCTGTGACTCCGACACAGCCTGTAGGTCAAGACGAAGTCGCTGGACTGATCATTTTTTACGAGGAGGATGCATCGAAAGCCAAAACCCGTCAGTGTGGGACTTTAACCCGAACTAAACCTCCTACCATCCAAGTACTGATCCCCCTGGTACTACCTATTTCTTCGGGAGGTGGTTTGAGCACTAAGCTAAGTCCGTTACTGTTCCGATGCTGTTCGTCTACAACTAGCATCTACTCAAACAGTTGTGTCTTACAAACAACCCACCCCAGTCGGTCACTTCGTACCCTCCCACCGTGTCATGTTCACCAAATTTTCTGCACTTCTTACCTTCTTGCCATGGATCTTCTTATGCCATCTTCCCGTCCTAGCTGTTGGTGTATCTCAGTTATTGCGGTGCTTGCCACATCCCAAGCATGCTTCGACGTCATCATGACGTCAACTAAATTTTCAGGTCGTAACGGGCAATCAGAAAGGGATGCTATTCTACTACAAGCTCAGCGTCTTCAAATTCCTGGCACTCTGGACATATCGGAGAGTCATCTAATCCGAAACGGTGTAAATAATTTCGGTAACACCCGTGGCCTGTGAGGATGCGTTATGTGAAAGCTTACTTCTCCATGTTTTCTGTTAAGCCATTTCTGTATCTTTGGGACTATGTTGCCATATTTCCATTGATGTATCTTTTTCTTCTTTCGCTCTCTTCGCTGTGTTGGTGTCATTCCTCCTTCGTTGCTCGATTTTCATTCTTTCCTCCGCTAATAAATCAATTGGCATCATGCCATCGATAACCAGTGCTGCTTGGGTTGACGTGGTTTTGTAAGCGCATACGCCTCTCAGTGCACTGGGCCTATGGAGCGCCTCACATAAATGACGAAAAGGAGTTTACTTCCATCGCTTTTGCCCAAACTGGGACTCCGTACAACAGTATCGATGTAATTACTCGCGGNGCCACCTGTTCTAAATCTTATCTTGAATCAGATGTTGTAAATATGCATCATAACTCGGGTTTCAGACGTTTTAGCTTGAAAATAATTTAAAGAAGGTTGCCACCTGTTAACACATGTAGCAGAGTTGCCACCCATTTTAAAATTTAAATGCAACTTGAATTTAGGGAATTAGATGATTTAAATATGTATATTTTGGTATCACACGAAAAGGGTTTAACAAGATTGTAGTTGTTGAAAATATTTAAATACTTAATATTTTGCCACCTTTAAAAGCTGAACTTATTTAAATTATACAGAAGTTGCTGTATGAAATATTAAAATATGGGAGTCAATCGAAGGAGTATTAGNTGGCCCGAGCACTGAACCCTGAGGCACTCCCGCAGTGACTTTGTACTTTCCTTTCCTTAGATTCTTTCTTTATATGAATTTCCACTTCGAAGTACCATAGTTTGTTTTTTACATTGGAAATATGTTGTGTACATATAAATTTACCTTATGTTTTTTAAGCCCAAATAAAAATACTGATGCATTTGAATGTATGTACTTAAATATTTTCGTTTGCGTTTAATTAAATAGCTATATATGTATATGTGTATAAATAGGTACATAATAACAAACATAAAAAGTGCACATAGAATATTTCTATTTATTTTTTTTAAATAACTGATATAATTTAATAATGAAGTTTTAGTTTAGGCGTGCTCTCCTTCTCTGCATTGTTGTGTTTCGTCCCCGGAGGGCATATTTTTATCATAAGGGACGTAGGGTGGCTGCGTCTGATTCACATCGGATATCTTTTCGATTTCAATGTATTCATCCTCTTCACCAGTTGTAACCTTATCATCAGCCACAAGTATTTCTTTTTTCACCTTTGTAAGATAGAGCTCGGACTTATCAGTCTCTCTTGCCATAGAGAATTTGTCATTACTGATGTCCATGTTTCGCAATTCCCCCACGTCTTGGATCTCGTGGGCCAAAAGGTGATGCTCCAGTTCAGCGCGGAAAAAGAACTTGTCGCTGCAATTATTACAGTCATAGGGGCGAAACTGCAGTCCATGTTCATGCATATGGGATAGTAGGCCACTTGGGGCTGTAAATATAGCGGAGCATATATAACAATTAAAACCGCGCTCTTCACAACCGGCAAAAGTGTGCTCTACTAGATGTTCTTGCAGCTTTTGAGTGTGTGGCAACACCAGTTTACAAATATTGCAACGAACTTCAATTTTCAATGTGCTTCGGCAAAAATCTGAGCCATGTTCTGAAATTTCGGTTCGCAAACTTTGAGTTTTAAGTTTGGACCCTAGATTGTGCTTCCGGCAGCACTTTTCACAAACTTTGGCTTCTCCATTCATTGGTTTCGGTATTGCCTCTAAACAAAGAGCACACGTACTTTCTGGATTGTTGGATGATTTGGTGTGAAATCTGTGAAAATAATGGGCATATGAAGTAAACATAATTTATATTAAAAACTAAAGCTAGTATTTTCTTACTGTGCGTGTAAACTGATCTCAAAATCAGAGTGGAGTGATTGCCGACAGCAGATGCATTGCATTGGAAGCTGAATTTCGTTGTTATGCTCACTAAGATGATCTTTGAAAGCTGAAACCCCGTCCAAGAGTTTGCCGCAATGAGAGCATTTACCAGACTGCCCAACTTTTGAGTGTTGCAGTTTGTGTTCCGCCAATATAGCAGGCGAAGGGAAAATTTCATCACAAATCAAACATTTATGCTTTCCAGTTGAATTGTGACAAGTCTTCATATGATGTTCTAATTCATTACGTGACTTAAAGTTACCAGAGCAGTAGGCGCACCGCAAACTTACTCCAGTTTTCATATTATGGACGATTTTACGATGTGAGTTCACTTCACTTTCGGATCGGAAATCATTTCTATCGCATATATCACAGCTATAGCCCATAGAAGGATTTACAGAATTTGCAATTGTCGGTTCTGCTGGCGAACGGTTTTGATGTAAATCTGCTTGAGATCGGAGAACGGGTTGTGACTTTAGGCCGTTGCAATAACTTATTTCCGCTGTTGGCTTGTCTAATCTCTGCTGTGTATACATCTCTATTAGACTTCGACTTGTGTCGAAATATCGCTGGCTGAGGCCATACATCAAACCGGGGTGTTTGACGGCGCCTGTATCAATCTGCAATGTTCTATAGAACTTTCCGTCGATTAATGGGTTAGCTGTTGTAGCGGAACTTGGAAAAAGATTTTTATTCAGATGGGCCGTAAATGCAATATTGTAGTCAAGAATGCTCGTGTTATTGTTTTGAGAGGAAATTGGCATTTGAGGAGTTTTGTTAAGTAAGGCATTCACATAGAGGGGATTCAATAGGTTTGGCAGTTGAGGTGATGTGGAAATTTCTTCAGAGTTAGCTTTTGGAGAAAATGCCGTCGTATTCTTGCCTGCATGATGATGTTGCATGTGCCTATCCAATAGGAACTCCACATGGAACGTTTCGGGACACGAAGGGCAGTGGAATTGGCGAGCATGAGCGGCCAGATGAAAATGCATTTCTAAATCATTTGCGCAGACAGTTCTACAAAATATGCATTGTAGTGAATTGGATACTGGAGCATTGAGACCAGGATGACTCGTTTTGAGGTGTGTATTAAACTCACTCTCAGATCGAAATACTTCCAAACACATCGAGCATCGAAATAACTTTGTTTCAACGGAATGAGTACAAGCGAAATGCATTTGTATAGCTATTTTTGACTCGAATATTTCAAAGCACACATCACACTTCAGCATTGGAATCGCGTGTTGCTCCAACATATGGTTTTGAAGCTCCTCAGGTTTTGCGTACGACTTTTTGCACTTGTTGCTTGCGCAAATATATTCTGAATTAGAGATTAGATAATGTGAGTTGACATGGCGCTCGTACTCCGCTGGTTCCTGTAATGCCAGACCGCAATGGTGACACATGAGATTTAAACCTTGAGTTATATGACTTTTCAAATGGTTACGGAACTTTTCAAAGTCTGGCAGTCCCGCATTGCATTGATTGCAAAAGAATATATCTGGTTGTTGAGGTTCCTCAGAAGGTGAAAGAGGAGTTTTTGAGCGACAGTTGCTTTTACTAAGATCAGTAGGTTTTTCTTCTTGCTTATCTTCATTAGAATTTCTCGAGCCCGGCAGTATTGGTTCCACCTTAATGTTACTTTCGATAACGCCATTATCTTCTCGCAAATTAATTTTATCGCCGACTAAACGAGGACTAAATGTTCCTGATGCAGCTAAACGATTGAAGTGCTCGAAATACGAGTTAGGACTGGCCAAACGGTCGACATGTGCAACACGAATATGTTGAAATAATGCGGGGAGATTTCCTAACTGCATCGTGCAATATTCACACCTCAACTGGAATGAATTTGGTTCAGATGAGGGGGTGTCAGGAGCGGATGGTAACTTAGTGTTCTGCGGGGAAAATACCTCTTTATCATGTTTAGTGTGAATATGCACATTGAGTTGCTCGATGGAGTTAAACTCGGACTTGGAGCAATAATTACATGCCAAAAGGCTCACAGTTCGCGGTCGTTTTGGATAATCCAAACGGTTTGGTTTACTATCAGTGTGAACCATTGTCGTGGCATAGCGCCTCTTATGGAAACTTCCGCTACTGGAAATGGATCCGCTTGAACGTGGACTGTAATTGAGTTCTTGAGGATTACCCCCTGCCGCTAAAATAGCTGCTTGTTTTTTATGATTTTGCATATGTGATGTCAACGCAGCGGCGGTGTTGTATCCACGATTGCATATTGTACATTGAAATGGTTTCTGATTGTCGTGTGTTTTCATGTGAATTTTGAGATGATCGCTAAAATTAGAATTGGAATATAATAAGTATTTTCTAAAATCATAGTTGTATCATTTCTAAAACTACTTGCAAGAAGTTGTGCTTATCACTAAATTGAAATAACAAAACAAAATATTTGGTTGGGCTAGGTTAGGTTAGGGAGGATGGTTCTGTGGGCAGAAGTGGAAAACTTTTGACTGGCGTTCACCTGGGAGTGGCCAGAAGTGATTCTTGTGCGTACGGTTCAAATCGTAACTCACAAAGTCCGGATATTTATATCCACGTATCCTTTGGGTAGCAACCAAACACTCGTTTGGAAGCGAGCTAAAGTGAGAAAGCGTAAAACTTTGCTTACGCTGGGTTTGGGTCCCGCCCAATGAAAAAGTTCAGAAAGCCTCGGATGAGACCCTCTTATTTTGATGACGTCCACGGCAGACGTACTATGATTTGGGGGTATGCACCTGGAATATCCGAACCCTTAATGGGGAAGGTGCCTCTGCCCGGGAAGACAAAGGCTGGCATCACCGCCATCCAAGAAAAGTGGTGGACGGGGCAAGGCAAGGTAAGCGTGAAGCCTTGCGACACATACAACAGTTGCCCCGTAAAAGAGCGCAGACTGGTGTTCACCGCTGTCGACGAACGCCTAGCAAAAATCCGCATAAAAGCAAGATACTTCAATATCTCTCTCATATTCGCTCATGCCCCGACCGAAGAGAAGGAGAAGGCGTCCAAGGATCTATTCTATAAGCATTTGGAGCCCAAATATGAGCGCTGCTCCCAACACGATATCAAAATTGTGCTAGGCCAAGGTGGGAAAGGAAAGGATATTAGCTTATAAAGCTTAACGTCGAAAAGCTGCACTCACAACAGACGGCCAATTTGTACGCCAATCGACTCCCACACCTGCTCTCTGAGAGCACTCTTCAACAATCCGCCATACGCGAGCAGTGGAACCACATCTTCCGATCATTAGGTACCGCCGCCGAAGAAGTAGTTGGATTTCAGCGAGGCCGAAAGATCAACTGGTACGATGAGGAATGTCAAGAAGCCGCAGAGAAAAAAGACGCCGCCTCTAGGGCCATGATGCGATCGGGCGCAACGCGAGCCATGTGGGACTATTATAGCGAATTGAAGAAGGAAGCGATACGTATTTTCCGTAATAAAAAGAGGGAGGCCGAAAGACGTGAGTGCGAAGAGCTTGAGATGCTGGCCGACAGGAGAAACGCCCGAAAATTTTATCAGAGGGTTAGGCGACTTCCGGAAGGTTTCAATACCTGCAAGAACAACCAAGGAGATGTAGTGACTGATGTCCAGAACATACATAAATTATAAGAATGGCAGCAGTGGAGAAAACAAACCCGAGCCCCAAGTCGTTGACGATGGAGTCGATGTCCCACCGCCTGACTATGACGAGGTACGAATAGGGATTACGTGGCTGAAAAACAACAAAGCTGCTGGAGCTGACGGCCTGCCAGCCGAGGTATTCAAGTACGGCGGCGAGCAGCTGATGAGGTGCATGCTTCAACTCTCATGCAGAATATGGTCAGATAAGTGTTCTCTGCCCAATCCACAAGGAAGGCGACCAGCCCATTCGCGCCAACTACCGCGGTTTCGGCCTTCTAATCATAGTTTATAAAGTCTTATTGAGTGTATTGTGGGAAAGACTGAAGCCCACCGTCAACGAACTGATTGGACCTTATCAGTGTGGCTTTAGGCCTGGGAAATCCACCACCTGAACTAGGTATTCACAATGCACCAAATCTTGGAAAAGACCCGCGAGAAAGGATACACACACGTCATCTATTTGTCGATTTCAAAGCCGCTTTCGACAGCACGAACATAAGTTGTCTTTATGCCGCGATGTCTGAATTTGGTATCCCCGCGAAACTAATACAGCTGTGTTAAATGACGTTGAACAATACCATCAGCGCTGTCAGAATAGGGAAGGACCTCTCCGAGCCGTTTGATACCAAACGAGGTTTCAGACAAGGTGTGATTCACACATAAAACTTTTGCTTCGTTTTACGTGACAGATTCGCGTTGACAGATCAAATGAATTGTATTAAAATGCACAAAGCATGCCACACAGATCACTGAAGCTGCAGCGCGAAGCGAAAAGATGGCCAACTCCCATCTTTTTGCGCGTTTTGACAATCAGCCGGCTTAATGTTTATTTTGTTTCGTCCAAATTCGAATTTTCATGTAGAAACATAAAACTTAATTACATTGCTGATATTTTTAAAGCAAAATATATAAAATCTACCGCAATTTCGACGAGTAAACAAGCAGTACAAAATCGTTTTCTTGGCGTTCATTGTGGCACACCTTTCGCATCTGGTGTTTT